ATAGGTGGGGAGGTACAGAGAAGGATTTTGAAGTAGGTGGATGGTATGAGCAAACACCAAGTGGTAGGACCATGCATGATGTGTTCTGGGTTCAGTAAAGACAACAGTATTGCTAAGATTGAGGTTCATATAAAGAAGTGAGAAATAAAGTTGCAAAGAGGTCACTATCCTTCAACATCTTCTCATCCTAAATTACTGCCCACCTCACCACTCTTTGGCTTATTTTCATAGCATTTGCCTATTTATTTATTATCTCTTTTCCCCTCATGAAAATTAGATCCAGATAGTCAGAGACTTTGGCAAATAGTACTAGATTCTGTTTGAATATTTGTTCAAAAATGAGTAAATGTACAGTGTAGTGACTATAGGTGATAATACTATATCACATATTTGAAAGTTGCTAAGAGTAGATTTTAAAATTTCTCATCACAAGAAAAAAAATTCTGTAACTACTCAGGGTGAGGAATTTTAACTGGACTTATTGTGGTGATCATTTTGTAATTTATAAAATATAAGATCATTATGTTTTATACCTGAAACTAATATAATGTTGTATGTCAGTTATACCTTAATAAAAAATACGTGTGAATGCCCATAATAAATATTTATTAAAGAAATTATTGCCTTATGGTATAAAGGGGTCTTTCTATGATAGTTTTATAAAGATCATCAAGTATTTTGTCTATGATCTCTGAGGATGGTTATACAAAATTGCGCCCCAGCTCTGTCGAGTAGCCTCTTTTTCCCATTGCTAGCAGCACCATTCTTTGTCCTTTTTATCAGACTGGATTGGAACCCAAAAGAGACAATTAAGACAATTCTTAAACTGGAGCTAGTGGGCAAGGAGAAGCCCAAGAAATAATCACCATGATATTTCAAGCTTCCACTGATTTTCACTAGAATCCGTAATTTTACAATGTGGTTTTCAAAGTCACTGCTGAAAGAGAGAGAGAGCAAGAGAGAGAGAAGAAAAAGAAAAGGGAATGTGGTCATCATTGTGAATATAACTCTTGAGATTCTTGATGGTGTGGCATTGCAGGTTATTTTTGACCCATCCAAAATCCACGAAACAAACTGCTTGCTCAGCATGTGTTGTTGTATAATAATTTCTCTTATTCATTCATTTCCTTATCTAGCCATCTTTCCATCTACACTCACTATTTGTAATTAAACAGTACACTCTGCTTCTATGGTTTCCTTGATCTTCAACATGGTGGAATGAGAAATAAGGATTCTTGCGAATTTTTAAGAATGCATTAACTTATAAATTATTTTAAAATATTTTCAACATTCCTTATACTCTTTACTCATTATTATAGGTATCCAAAATTTGTTTAATAATTATAAATATGAGGTGTATTAGTTTATACCAAGTACTGTAGACTACAGCAAATAGCCAAACACTGGAAAACGCCCTGTGAACATTATTGGATAGTATTTGAATAACTAAACATTCAGATGTCTCAATAAGATTGTGACACTACACAAAATCACAAATCAAAATTGCCAATTTCCTTCCAAAACTTCTTATTTCTTGGAAGATCACGTATAGTATTTGTGTAAAGCATCCTAGGCATATAAACTTACTAACATTTATTTTATTTGCAAGAGTGACTTACTATTAGCAGCAGATGGGGCCATGAACACACACATGGAAACAGCTACAAGCAAGACTGACTGATTAGATGGTGACTGCTTCTCTCTCAGTGCTCCTTGCCCTGGTTCCAGAAATGTAGACTTAACCTTTGACTCCATGTGTCATGTTTCCTGCTCTTGCTTTCCCTTGACATGAGTGGATCCCTCTAACCAGTAACCTCTCTCTGTTTATTATGCTTTAATTCTTGCAGGACAATTGCCATATTTTTTCCAATTTTCTGATTTCTCAACTACTTTTTCTCAAAATTTGGACTTAAAAATAAATAAATTTTGGGGGCTGGCCCCGTGGTTGAGTGGTTAAGTTCGTGCGCTCCGCTGCAGGCGGCCCAGTGTTTCGTTGGTTCGAATCCTGGGCGCAGACATGGCATTGCTCATTAAACCATGCTGAGGCAGTGTCCCACATGCCACAATTAGGAGGACCCACAGCAAAGAATATACAACTATGTATTGGGGGATTTGGGGGAGAAAAAGGAAAAAAATAAAATCTAAAAAAAATCCAACACTCTTTAAAAAAATAAAATAAAATAAAATAAATAAATTTTTTGAGAAATTCCAGGAAGGAATTCCCCAATGGAAATACTACTCTCACCACCGTGATTAACCCTTCTTTTCATCCACCAGTTAAACAACAGGGAAAGAAATGGAGAGATCCACTCTCACAACATACTAGAAATATTTTCATCATGTATTCTGGCCTTAAGATACTTATTGATTGGTGGTTGAGACATGTACTCAATTAAATACACTACCTAATAAAATGTATTTTAATAAAATTCCATGAGAGAGGCATAGATAGAGGATGTAGGGAGGGAGGTTGCTTTCTGTAAGGCAATTGATACCAAGGACAGGCTCGCAAACCCAAAAGGCTGCATGAAGGAGGTGAGCAGGAATTTGAAAGAAGTGGTGAAGGTGAAGGAGAGGAACAGTGAAGGAAATCTAAAGTAGTTTTTCAAGTTCTGACTTCTGTTTACGCTGCCAGGAGGCTACCTTGTTAGGAGGGGATCATCATTTTCTCAAGGAAAACATTGATTGACATTTATGTCCCATCGTTTAACTCACGATGTGCTGATATTCCACTCAATCTTCTAATTCCAGAATGTAATAAATACATGGAATGACTCATATTAAGAGTATAATTTTTCATGAAGAAGGAGGAGCTCATTCTATTCAGCAAAAATATGTAGACGAAGATACCTGGAGGAACCCAGTAATTCAGTTGAAAGGATTGATCAACCCTTTAGAGCCTTTTCCCCAACAGAGTAACATTTCACTCTCTTCTTTTAGAGTTCCAGATGAATTTTCTGTATGATTTTTGACATTGAATAAAAATGAAAGGAGGCATGAAACCACAATTGCGAACTTTCCTTTTGTTGGCATTCCAGACAATGCCTAGCACAGTGTGTACATTTAATTGATTCGTTATGTTCTGATGTGACTTGGCCTGGATATGTTGATAAGCAACCAGCCAACCAGAGAGTTCTGTTCCTCTCCTCCAACATTGAGTTGGAGGAAAAGTCATTTCGAATACATTGTAAAACCCATGACTATTCTCAGAATATGTAACACTTTGAGGTTCTTCTCTTTATCCCCATGTGAAATCAGCTCAAAAAAATTAAAATAATCAAGCATAGTTTTGAAGAGAAAAAGAAGCAATGAAATCAAAAAGTTTTAATCTAGGAGAAATATGAAAAGTGGAGGAGGATCATGCTGTGATGATGGGAAGTGTATGTATCAAATAAATCTATATGAGCCTCTGATTCCTTTTAGAAATTATCATTTTTCTGATTATAAAAGTAACACAGTCTTATTTGAGAAAACATGGGAAAATGCATAAATGAATAAAGAAGAAAAAGATTATCCTAATTCTACAAACCACAGATAACAACCGTTAACTTTTTGTTGTGTTTCTATTCTTCATTGTTCGTGTGTATTTTTACAAAATTGAGCTCCTATTGTAAATAAGGGTTGTACCTTGCTTTTATCACTTATAGTTATAATGATAAATATTGCTCTCTATTATTAAATATTAATTTAAATATGATTTTAAGTATGCTGTATTTATATATCTGATATTGGAAGTTAGATTTTAATAACTTTTCATTTTATAAATATAAGAAACAGCCTTATGTTTTCAGTTTTGTTTGACCCTGTCAATTTTTTGAGGTTATGATTTTAGGACAAGAATTATTGAATTAAAGAATAGAAACCTTTCTAGGCCTTTGGTATACTTAGCTATATGACGTTTGGAAGGGTCATACCAATCTTAGATCTGTTTTAATATCCACTGGCAGACACTCTACTCACTTCCTGGAGCTGTGAACTAAAGTCAGTTTTATGGGCTGGATCCAGACTCATGCCTGATAGGTTGTCCCCTCTTCTATTTGCTCTGGGAGAGATAATTCCTGTTAAGAAGTGTCTCTGGAGCCCTCTTCACCTCACTGTTCCTCAGGGTGTAAATGAGAAGGTTTTGCAGTGTGATGTCAGCTGTGAACACTAGAGAGGGATGCCGCTTCTACCTGAGGATTTATCTGTGGTTGGGGCACAGGTACAGGAAGATGCTACAGCCATCTAGCACTAGGTAGGAGGAACAGTGGCACCACCTTTTAAGCAGCTCTATGAGCAGCAGCCAATATTAAGGCACTGGAAGAGGTGAAGAAGGCGGAACAGCAGAGGCTTTGTGAAAGCCATAGCATAGACAGCTCATGCACTCAGTGCTAGCATCAACCAGGTGCAGTTTTCAATACTCTAGCATGACTGGCACACAGTTGGTGCTTAGTCAATGAATGCGAATTCCTGACCACTTCCTGGCATGGCAGAATGAAAGAAAATGAAGGCAACCTGTTAGGATATATGGAATGAAGGAAATGGATGCATTAAATGAGTTATTGTTTGCCATACATTCAAATCTAAAACAATAATAAAATATATTCCTTTGAGTAAAATTTATGTCTTTATGAATAGTCCTTACTTAAGGCACCTTTCACAGGATAAACTAACATTATTGCTTCCTCAGGAGGGAGGATGTCTAAAGTTATCAACCTTTATTCCCAGGATGTATGGGTGGGTTCCTGATAGAGCAATTGCCCTTGGTGTCACCATAGTGAGCTATCATCTTCAAAACAGGGCTAGGATAATAAAGCTCCCGCATTGAAAGTTTTGTCCAAGTTTTCAAATCTTATGCAAAGTACTTGAAGAAAATCAGTGCAGATGGTGGACATGGGGCAATTATGGCAAAAGAGAAACATCAACTGCAAAGTGTGGTGAAGTATTATAATTCTATATTTGTCATTTAGAATTTACCATCATGGCAAATGACAGACACCAACCACAGTTCCCCTAAGCCTTCAACTAGTGTCAGAGGCTGCTTTACCAATGATGACATTCCTCAGAGCACCTCGGACATCTTTGTTGCGCAGAGTGTAAATAAGAGGGTTGAGTAAGGGGGTGACAAAAGTGTAGACCAGGGCGATTTGGCGGTCCTCATCCTCTGAGGTGCTGGAACGAGGGCGCAGATAGACCAGGCTGCAACAGCCATACTGCAGCAAGACCACAGTGAGATGGGAGGAGCAGGTAGAGAAGGCCCGGCGGCGGCCCTCTGCAGAGCGGATGCGCAGGATGGCACAGGTGATGAACACATAGGAGACACAGATAAGTAGGAAGGGGACAGTCAGCACCAGGATGCCCACGACATAGAGGACGGCCTGGTGCACATGGATGTCAGCGCAGGCCAGCCGCAGGACCGGAGGCACATCACAGAGGAAGTGGTTGATTTCCTGATAGTGCCCACAGAAGGGCAGGGTGAAGATTAAGGATGTGAGCTGCAGGGAGAGGAAGACGGCCAGGCCCAGGGCACTGGCCACCATCTGGATGCACAGCTTCTGGGTCATGATGAGGGTGTAGTGTAGTGGGTGGCAGATGGCCATGTAGCGATCATACGCCATGACTGCCAAAAGAAAACAGTCCGTGCTGCCAAGGGTGACAAAAAAGAACATTTGGGTCCCACAGCCAGCCAACGCAATGGGCTTCTGGGCCCCAAAAATGTTAGAAAGCATCAAAGGCACCACAACAGAGGTGTAGCAGATTTCCAGGAAAGACAGATTGGACAGGAAGAAATACATTGGGGTGCGGAGGGAGCTGTGTGCACACACCACCCAGATGATGGCTGTGTTGCCACAAAGGTTCATCAAGTAGAGGGAGAGGAAGAGTAGGAAAAGGAGAACCTGGAATTCAGGCACAGCTGTGAACACACGGAACACAAACTCAGTGGGGCCAGATAGGTTGAGGACGGGGCTCCTAGAAAACATGTCTCCTGCAAAAGAACAGAAAGTGCTGAACCTTCCTTTGCTGAGTCACTTTATTACCTGAAGAAAAAGTAGAGATTTTAAATTTGAATTTTTATTTGGAATTATTTATTTAGTATCCAGTTTCCAGTCTCAAGGCTTGGAATGAATTCACAGTAGAGTGTATGGGATATTTTTCCATGGAAATCTTCATGAATAGGATAGATCCTCATCTGTAGAAGTTTCTGGTGACAGAGACATGTAGATGCTCCTGGAGAAATGACATTTTTTACTCTGGTATTTTAAATCCAATTGACAAGGGCTAATTCTTTGCTTGTGTTTAATTAAACTAAAGAGTATAGTTGTAGATATATTCAAAATGAGATAAATAGACGTGTTGTTCACTTTTTGGGCAAACATTCTGATTGAAATATAACATACATACAGAGAAGTTCGCAAATCCTGACTGTACTGCTTGATTTCTTTTCTCCGTGGTAAACACACCAGGATAACCACCACCAAGATTAAGAAATAGAGCAATTCCAGCAACTTACAAGCACCCTTCATATCTTCTCTTTTTCCCTCCTTGACTTTTATCACTGCAGACTAGTTTAACTGTGCTCTAATATATATATGCAGTAATGAAGTATCTAATTTGCTATAAGGCTTCAACATTATGTCTGCAAAGGTTATTCTTGCTGTTTTGTGTAGTAAGACTTTTTTCTTTCCATTGTTTTGTAGTATCCCATTTTATGGCTATATTATAATTTATTCTTGAGCTGTTCACTTTTCATCTAGTTATGAGTCCATTTAAAACTAGGCATTTTTTATTTCAATTCTTTCTGATATATACTCTTTATATAGTTCCTCTCATTTGAATTTTTTTTTCTTAATTTACAACCATGAAGCTAAACTTTAGGACTTTGACAAATTCAAATAAAAGGAACTTGTAAAGGAGTCAGGTCAAAACGAAAGTAGAGCTACCTGAGATAATACAAGACAATAAGGAAAGTAAACATGCAATAACAGAACTGAAATAGGCATAGAATAATCAGGTGAATAAGAAAGAGTTTTATAAGCATCTGGGAAAGGAAAAATACCTATAAATTAAGCACTTCTACAGGTTGGACTGTAGCTTTATTTTCAATACAAAAACCCAAGAAACAATAGAGCAATGTCTACAGAGTTTTAAGAAAAACAAATTCTTGTGAAAGAATTCTATACCCAGACTTTAGTGATTTATGTTTAAAAGCAACGGAAAGACTTTCTCAGCTTACAAGGGCTTAGGAAATACATCACTCTAAATACAATTAAAATAATTCCTCAACAAAGACTCGTGGTTACTGGGTAATTAATCAGAATGTATAGTTCAAGATTGGGGAAGTTGTAAGGTAAAAACCTGATTTGAAAAGTCAAATAGTAAAATATGTATTTAACACTACATGGTTAATGCAAACATTGTTAAAAGCAAAAAAAATCCAAAAATAATTTTTGAAGATAAACATAAAATGCAAAAATTAGAATAGTTATGCATATTTAAAACCACAAATTTTATCTTTGGGAAATTGATAGAGAAGGATGGGAGAAATGAAAGTATACTAATATCCTCAATCTATGTAAGGAAGGATCCAAGAAATATTTCATATGGATTTGACTAATTAGAGAAATATCTATTCAAATGTTTATTTCTGAATAATCATCATCAGTGGAATAAAACTCAGCATATCCGTTCCAAACAATCTGATTTTAAAAAGTAAATTACTGCAGAGAGCAAAAGGCTGAAACCAAAAGAAAATGCAAGCAAGCAAATAAGGTAAAATAACATAAGTAGAGAAAAGTAAATATTTAATTTCTGAAAATAATTTTAAATGAAGTTTATGTTCTATTAAAGACAGTCTAACATTTACATAATAAAAAATCCAAACAAGTGTACACATGACGACATAGAAAGGCTAGCATCACTTTTGTTGAGCTTTGTGTTTTATGATGTAGCTGTTGCAATAAGACAGAGAGAGGATGCAGAAGATTTCATTGCCTAACTGAAAACGTAACAGGATCAACTGAAAAATTAAAGACCAATAAGATATTCCTTAGGGTGGTTAGTTCCAAAGAAATGTAGTAGAAAGTCTCTTAACTAATCTTCACTAACTGATGTGTCAGATTAACCAATGCTCCTCCTTCCCTCTGTTCAACATACTAAATGATGTTCATGATACACTGAACACAACAGACCCATGGCTTACTCTCTAAAATGTCTGAGCCTTCCTACACCCCAAATTGATTTATATGCCTTTACATTGGTTGAATTTTCCCCAAACCTACTTATATTATTTGTATTCATTTTAGTAATTATGCCATTTTATTAAATATTGCAAAATCTAATAAGATGCTATTGTGAATATAAAGGTATTTAATGAAAATTAATAATTGAGTGTTTGAGAAATACTTGATTATTGTGAGTTGCTAAGAATTTCTGTGGAATAAGATGTGATCCAGACCACTACTAAAGACTAAAAGGATAAATGAGAAAATTTTGAATAAATTTATGTTCCTATTTGATATGCATCTAAATGTTCACTTCATGTTATAAAAGTTAAAACTGGAACTAATACATGATGCATGAAAAGAAAGATTTTGACTTCAGGCAACACAAACTCAAAGTAAAGCCCTTGGCTTTATATTAAAAGATTGATGAATAAATGCCCATTTGTATGTTTTAATTCAAAGTAAAATGAATAAGTGGTTAGTTTATGCTTTGAACCACAGAGCTTTCTTTTTTTTTTTTTTTATCAGTGATGCTAGTTAGAACACCCTTCCTCCAAACAGCAACCAAAATGAATGAATAATGAATAACACGCCAGTGAATAAACTTAATAAGTCACAAATAGAAACTCTGAAGAAAACTACTAAGCTTGTACATATGTGCCTGGATGGAAAATCCCAATATTTTAGTGCTCATTGATGCTGAAACAATGTGTGAATTTCATGCAACTCTTATCAAAATCTCTAGAGGAATAAACGGTGAAAAGACAAGAGCATGCTTAAAAAAAAAAACAGTGTGCCACAAGGCAGCAAAACTTGCATCACAAGACATTAAAATATGCCGGAAATAATTATATAAGTTGTAAACTATATTATACCATAAATCAACATAGTGTGCTAGAGATCCAGTACAGTAGAAGAGAAAAAATCATTATAATAGTTAATTGCTCCACAGCACATATTGTATCAGATATTATTCTATGCACTTTGAATTTATTAATTCATTTCATAACGGCCCTCTAAAAGGGGCTCTAATCCATGTTTAACAGATGAGAAAATTGAGGCACAGAGAGGTTAAGTAACTTTCCCAAGATCACACAGCTAGCAAGTGTTGCAAAGGGAATTTAAGTACAGGCTGGTTCCAGCATCCTTTGTCTTAGTCACTGTGTTACATTTTCTCTGTCTACTATATGCATCAGTTTCATTACCTGTAAAATGGAACTGAAAATATATGTACCTACGTTGACAGTTGTTATGAGACTCAAATTATTCCGTGAAAGTACTTAGACCAGTCCAGGCACAGAGTACACATTCAATGTATATTAACTATTGTCACTACTTCAAATTAATTAGGAAGGATTAATTTTCTAATATAGTGCCAGGACAATGGGCTAATCATTTTTAAAATTAACTCCCTAAAGCATTACACATGAAAATTTAAGACTTAAGATTCAAATATTTTAAAAAGTAGAAGAAAACTAGAAGATAGTGTAGATGAACATTTTTCACATCTCAGAGTACGAGCAAATGACTTACAACCAAATGAGCGGAGTACATAAAAATGTTGATATTTTGACAGAATAGAAATTTAAAAGTTCTATAGGTCAAAAACAAATAAGCAAATTGAATAGAAAATGAAATTTTACAATCCACCAAAAATAAACTCATCATTAGAAAAACAGGCAATTCAAAAAAGAAATGTGCAAAGGCAAACAAATAAAATTCAATGTCATTAGTATTCAGATAATACAAAATTAAACAAAATCAGATACTATTTTCTGTTTACAAACTGATAGTAAAGGGAAAAAAGTAATACCTGGTGTTGTCAGAGTTGCAAGCAGGGCTATATCGCCAAACACTGCTCCTGGGAGGATAAAGTGCTGTGAGAATGTGTGGAGTGCAATCTGGTGACATGTAATGAAGAGTTGAAGAAATGCATACACTTTGATTCAGCAATATTGTTTTAAGGAGTTTATTCTTATAAACTAACCATGAGTATGCCCATAAAATTGTTGAGAGGAATGTTCATCACAGTTTTCTATATCGTGGAGAAAAATTGTATCAACCTTAATAACGATAAGAAGAAAATGCTTAAATTAATTGTGGTCTACGCATGTGAAGGAACATGCAATCGCTTAAAAACGATGTTGCGGAAAAATATTTAGTAAGATTGAGAAGGTTCATGAAAAAGCAGATTATAAACATGCATTATACCATAATTCCATCTAAAAATAATTAGATCTATTCATAAAAAATAAAAGAACATACGTCAAATGTTAACAATGGTATTACTAGGTTGGTGGGATCATAGTTCTTTTTGTTTGTTGGGTATGCTTTTCTGTATTTACAAAGTTTAAAATGAACAAATGCAACTTTGAAATCATATAATAAATTAAAAATTTTCCTTTATCCTTTGGTATTTCAACATAATGTTGAGAAAGAAGAATGTTAGTGTCAATTGTGTGGATTTTTGTAATCAGATCTGCGTTTGAAACCTGTTTCCCTTATTTTCTAACTTATTTTTATATTAATTATGTTTCTTGATGAGCCTTGATTCTCTAATGTGTGATTGGGCATGTGAATGTGGAGTCTTAAAGGGAATTTATGAAGATTAAATGTTTCAAATATGATAAAATGTGTTTGGCACACAACAGACATCCAATGAACATAACTGCCCTCCCCTCATGATGGTGGGTTTCCCTTGGATATTTACCCTTCAGTTCTCATCTTTCCAGAGTGGATAGTGAGGCTCCTCTAGAGTT